CCTTTACGCAGTAGCCCCCCTGCCCCACCACGCGTCTCCCGACTGGGGTTCAGGGCTGACCACCCCGAGGATTGGAGCACGCCGCTGCCTAGGCCCGGCCCGGGACCCACGCTCACAACTCGGCTCACCTGCGGCGCCCCCAGCTCCTCATCCCACCCACCCAGAGGCGTGGCTACTCATGTGGAGGCGAGACTTGTCTAGGCCGAGGCGCAGAGACCCGAGGCAAACCTGCCATCGATGGGGTGGGAATAGGCTCCTTGGCCCCAGAAGGCGCTGCAAGGGCGCAGGGAAGGCCACGTCCACTAGTTAACCTGATTGCCACCCGCCTCTTCCAGGGGCAGGGCCTCCTCTCCGAGGTGAAGTGAGGGGAGCCAGTGAGAGGTGCTGGACCCATCGCAGAACCTGCCCACTGAAGCCACGGGAACGTGGCTGCCCACCGCACTTCGCTCCCGCACTGGACAGCAGCTCCGGAGCAGCCTGAACAGGTGCAGGGGGAAAGGCCTTAGAAGAAACACCTGTAGCACTGCACGCCCTGCTGAAACCTGCTCCTGCACAACCATGGGGTCAGCCCTCGGGCGGGCAGTCTTCCCTGTTCCGGTGGCCTGGTGGACACGGAAGCCCTGGGAACACAGACCTAGGGGGCTGAGACAGATCCATCTTCCAAGACTTCTGGGTCCAACCGTGGATTTTCCCAGCACTTTTTATGGGCTCAGGACACTGCTTGTCAGATCTTAAGAGCCCCCTAGCTCCCCCAATGAGGGAAGTCTTGGCCTGAGAAGTGGCTCAACCTCTGGTGGTCCTCAGACATGGCGCTGCCAAGCCCTTGTGGGCGGTACCGAGGCCCTTATGTAGGCAAACCGAACTCAGGAATTGCACACAGGAGGTCTGAGGGCTGAGCAAGTCCTTGGCAAGAACTGCTTGTCCTTCCCATCAGGTGGTCTCTGCGGGTCCGAGAACAGATGTTTCCATTGAGTCACAGCTCCTGCCGACAACTGGGTTTCTGAGCACCAACCCCACAGAAAGCAACTAAAAAACCGGATGTGGGGACAAGCCCCGAGGACCTCAACTGCGACTTCTCTCGGGGAAAGACGAAGGGCAGCCTCACGGGCTCTTCTGACAAACCGCCCCCTCCTGGTCTTGCAAAAGCCCCATGAGGCCTGAGGCTGGTACTGACACTGGACCACAACTCCGATGAGCAAGTACGCACATGGCCAGATCTGCAGAGGAGTAGCCAGGCCAAGAGCATCTTAGAAACGTGACCATGCTGAACAGCTACTGACGGCGTCGCAGAAAACCACTCTGCCTGGACGTAAGCCCTTACCTTGTATTTCAGACTCCACCCCTGTGCCTCCCAACAAGCTGGGCAGCCTCCAGCCCGTCACGAGAGTAAGATAGTCACTGTGGGAATTAAGCCCAGCTTCCTCCTGCCCCCCACCCCCACCCCGCACAACCCGCCAGCCCAGCCCGCATCCCACCCTGGCATCTCCAGCACTGATGCCCGTCGGGGCATCAATGTGAATGGACCTGGAAACTCTGTAAACCAGAAAGCATAAGTCGGTGGGATCTTCATGGGGGTGAGACACTATTTCAGTGTTCAATTCTCCAAGGACAGCTAGAAGTTTTCTTCCTTTAATAAAAAAATCCCAGACACACTTTGAAGTCCCAGAGAAAACCAGCAACAGAAGGAAGTGACCCCCCGACAGGGGTGCTGGAGAGCCAGCACCATCAGGAAAGCTCCAGGCTCAGGCGCCACACCTGCCTTGTCAGGAGCTGGTCTAAAAATAAATTACAAAACGCTGTTTGGGGAAGACACAGCTGAACGGTTTCTTTCCCTCAAGGGCCGCAGGGAGGGGCCGACTACAAATCAGTCCGTGAGCTGGCCGCCTTGGGGGCGTACTTGGGCATCAGTTCGTGGATCTTGCGGATGTAGTCGGACTTTTCGGCACAGCCTTTGCATGTCTCCCCCCAGTCGTCCAAGATCTTCTTTAGCTCTTTAACTCGCAGCTTTTTCAGGTCCACCGTGCTCAGGTCGATCTGCTTGTCTGGAGGAGAGCAGGAGAGTTACCAGCTGGGCGGGGCGGCCACAGACCCCAGCAGGCCCAGGCTGGGTCCCCTGCACAGCCAAACCACCCCTTAAACAAGTGGCCCTACTGGTCATGGGGAGACAGTTCCAGACACACACAGGTGTGCGGTCCCACGCCCCCGAGGGGGAGGTTGGCCTCTTCACCAGGAAGGCTGGTCTCATGCTGGCAGTGTCCACCAGACACGCAGTGTCACCAGGGACAGGGATGGAGGTCACAGCCTAGTCCTTCAGGAGGAATGTGGCTCCCCCCTCGCCCAAGCGCCTCTTGAATAGTCATGGTAGAGGTCAAGTTACGTAAAATGACCGTTTCAGGGCGACAGAGCGGGTAGATCCCCCTGCCCATTTCCCAGCACAGGCCCTGGTCAGGCCCCGAGTCAGGAGCTCACGCTTCACTCCTTGTGACCGAGAGAGGCCTGCGCCAACCGCACCTCCCAGGGGCTCTCTCGCAAGTCCAGGCGTCCTTGACACACGTGGGTGAATACAGGACTTTGGACACTCAAACCACAATGAAATGTGTTGGTGACAGTGAAACGTCATAGAAGAAAACAAACTCTTCCTGGTCCTGACCCTTCTTTCCCAGCAGAGACCTACGCACAGGAGACACCGCGGCAGCCGCAGCTCCTGGCCTGCCTGGACACGCACTTCCTTTCAAAATTATAAAGCGCTTGCAGCCAGGAAAGCCCGTTAAACCAAGGAAGGCCACACCACACCCCTCCTCAGCCCTCAAACCCATGTCCCCAACTTTGCCCAGATTAACAGCCAGATCTTTCTTCACCAACCTGCAAGGCGCCCTGTGCCCAGCTCACCACCTGTCATGCCACACTGGCTGTCTTTGCCCTGCCTACTTCCTCTGTCTGGAATGTTCTTCCATTCCCTTGGCTAATGTCCCACCTCCTACAAAGTTTGCTGAAAAGTCACCCCAATGATACCTATTCTGACCTCCACTCATCAGGATGCCAGATCTGCACCCCCCACTTAGCACCGTCTGCCATGTTCAGCCACATACGCACGAGGGCTCTCGGGTATCACCCCACGACGCTGGCACCGAGTCGCAGAAGGCCTGTGGCACAGGCCCGACCACTCACCGTACTTCAGCTCGCAGATCTGGCTGTCTTTCTTCTTGAGTTTCTCGCAGATTTTCTCCACGGGGATGTGGTGGGCCAGCGGCTTGGACACCTCGTTGATGATCTTGGTGGCCGCGTCATCCGTGGCCCCAATGTAGTAGCACTGCAGCAAGAAAGGACACGGGCTCAGGAGAGTGCCCTGCCGTCTCAGAGCACCTCCTCTCTGCCGGGGCCTCCTTTCCCCAGGCCGCGCCCGTCCTGGCGGTCAGGCGCAGTCCGTGGGAGCCCCGAGTCGTGACACGCTCAGTCCCAGAGCTGGCAGCCACCACATGAGGCTAAGAGCCACCAGGGTTCAATCCTTTAAACAGACAGACAGACAGACAGACAGAACCAGACTGCCAAGGACATGAAAGCTACAAAAGACACGCCTCACTGGGGCTCCTGGCCTCCATGGGGCCCCGGC